TCACAGTCGAGCGTAGTTCGCGTGTGGTGGGGGTCAAGTGTGGTTGGTACTCTCGCCTCTTACAAGGCCAGCTTAAAAGAGTAGGCAAAATACAATCTACAGGGGAGCTGTCGTGAGCTTCCTTTATTATTGTGGAAGCCCATGCCGCCGGCAGTGGCGTTGTGATGTGAGCAAGTCATTGCAGGACCGCACCTTCTGTGAAGGACATAAAGGAGATGATTTCCATAAACGTTCTCCTTGTGTCATCACAGGTACTGCGTTGATTTGCATTCAAAGCACATGTTTGAATGCATTAAAACTTGATTTTGTGTCGTTTAGTGAATTGATATTCACTTGTCTTTTCTAGAATCTGATAATGTGGTTAAATGGTTGAAAACATTTCTCTAAGAATTAGCTTGCTTCGTCGCCTGTTCGTCTCCAATTGACCATGAGTCGGTTTTTATTATTATTCCAGTACAGTATTATCTTCGTGAACAATTCATATACGTGTGATAAGATGCGAATTTGAATGTAATTCATTTAATCAATGTTGTCTTATCTTTTTGAATCGAGGAATTATTGAAGGTCATTCCAGAGCAATTAGTAAATAGGTCCATTCATTGTTTCGACAGCTGTTCCTGCTTCTTTGATCATGTCCTTAGTTACTGCATCTTATGTGTGGTAATCCAGAACCATCTTCCTACCTGAAGAATGAATTGTCTCCTGCAGTATATGACAGTGTTTTTTGTAAACATTCTAAATTGTTGGATTTTTTTCATTGTTTTTCTCTAAAGCATTATTCTTATATAATTTTGCTGAAAGGGCTTGTTGCGATTTAACAATAATTCAATTCCTTTGTCCTGCTTTCATGCCTCCATTGTACATTATGACATTTTCAATCACGTTTGTGTTATTGTCTTTAATTTATTTCTGTGCTCATAACTTTCAAAAAGCTTTTTTTTCCCCAAAGAGTTCAATACTTTCCATGGAGCTCATCAGTTTAATCTCTCCCTTTCTTCAAAGTGATTTTTTGTAAATTGAGATAGCCTATTGGTCTTAAAATTTTTGCCCTCACTTTCAGTGCACTATTACAATTTTGGTTATCTCATTCATTTAAAGTTGGACGTCCATTTACTTGTGTAGTGTTCGACTTTACGCGGACAACTTCTGTCTTTCTTCGAACACCGCTTTATTTACAACATTCAACATGTCCTCCACACTCCACAGTATCCTGGTCACCACGGGTCGCTCACCGTGCTCCGCTCGTCCCGCTCACCACCTTTGTCTCCCCACTATCACTTCACTTGCTTCGCACTCAGCGACTCCCCGTTCAGCAACTCCGCACACAGCGTCTTCAGCTCCGCTATCGCTACGCTCTCTCCACTGCTAACTACTTCGTCTTGCTTCACACTGTTCCAACTACGTTTCTCACTCTGTCTCCAAACTCTGTTTCCAAACTCTGTCTCCAAACTCTGTTTCTACTCTGTCTCCAAACTCTGTTTCTACTCTATTTCCAACTCCACGTCTTCCTCGTCCAGCTCCCAACTCCAACTCCCCGCTCTCTGTGTGTCTCCCCCAATTTATCCCCATTCTCATTATCGCTGATTAATTGGCCCGCGTGCCTCCGCACGCTGCGCGTCCTCAAACACCTCCCTTTCTCCAGACATCTCGACGTCTCCTCACCCTTGACAACAGCCACAGCCAATCACCGCCGTTGCTGATCCTCTGGCTTAATTGGCCCAACCGTTACCTCATCATCCCAGCCCTTGCACCTGGCTGTCCTAACACGAGCCACACTGTTTTCGCCTTCTCCACAGGCTGACCCCAGATAACCCACACTGTCCGTGTGATCATGCAATCGCGCAGTTTCCACAACACACCTTCATACTCCACTGCACTTGTAATGATTTTTTTAACGTGTACTGCTACGACGATACTTCGAATTCGGAGTAGTTGAGTACCGCGAACATAACAACGAAACAACACAACAACTTTGTACAAGAACCGCAACACGCAAAATCAATGGAAGGTCCGTCCTCGGGAGCGAGTTCCAGCTGCCGGCCAATTTCCCCTACACGGGACACCGTGGGGCAAGGGCGGGCCTCGCTCCTCCGTTAAGTGAGGGCCGCTCCTGGTCCTCGACACACACCCGTCCCTGTCCCAGCGACCATCCGCTGGCGGGACCGTCCTTCATCCATGCTCGGGCCGGACAGCATTTCGAGGTTGCGGCCGGTCAACCGGCGTCCAGCCAGCAAACCTGCCAGAATTCCCTCGTCGAGTTAATAGGGATGGTCCCGGAATCCTCGGTCCTGGGGAAATCCTCGGTTGTACCTGGTCGGCGCCCTTGGAAGGCCGCCCCTGCGCCGCCAGCAGTCGCGGGCGAGATGTCCTCTCCGTCCGCACTCGTAGCACGTCCGTTGCGTGCCACCTCCATACACCGCGGGACGACGCAGCACGCCCGTGGGTGGCACCCCGGCCACCGCTGCAGTCGGCGGCGCCTCGTTCACCGCCACCTCGTTCACCGCCACCTCGTTCACCGCCACCGCGCTCTCGGCCGTGGCAGCGCTCATCAGCAGCGGCTGCACACCCACCACCGCTGGCTCGTCGCGGAGGTCCAGGTTGACTTGGATGTTCCTGGCGATCTGTAGAGATGACATGTTGTCGTCGTCGTTGCTGTCAGGAAGCGAAAGGACGATCCGTAGCTCCTTCGCCAACTGCAAAAGCTTCTCCTGCAGCAAGGAATCTAGGGCCTCCTGGTCCATCGCTGGGTATGCAACTTGAGCGAGGGCCAACAACGCGCTGCGGAATTCACGAGGGGATTCCGTGCCCTCCCGCTTCCTTTGCTGAAATCGACGTTTGGCAACCAACCGCGGCTCGTACACCTTTCTCATTGCCGCGAATGCCCCGTCCAGCGGTGACCTGACGGCGGCAGGGAAACCATTAAATGTCGCCAAAGAATCATCATCGAGGGCCGTCGGCAGTGCCCGCAGCGCGGCACCCTCAGTCCACTCCAGAGATTCATAAGCCGCTCGGAACCGTCGTGTAAATGCCGTCCAATCACCAACTTTGGCCTCGAACCGCTGCACGTGAAGTCGCCGTGCCGTTCCTGACAACTGCGCTTCCTCGTCGTCGGATTTCTCCAATCGCTCCGACCCCGCGGCAACATCTGCTGGTTGACTTGACACCGTTGGTTGTACGTGGTTCGATGTCACAAAGTGGTCGAACGCCTCCGTCAGCATCGCCATCCTGGCCTCCCACTGGGCCACGAGGACTCTCCAATCCCCCGACGGTCCCGGGGTCTCGGCCCCGCTCGGACCGCCGCCTCGTTCTGTTATTTCTTGATCGACCAGACCCTCCGGAGGAGTATCGGCCACTTGGCTGGACACGGGCAGCACGTCCTCATCGTTGCTGTCGTCGGACAAGTCCACCAGCACGTTCTTCTTCTTTGCCGCCTTCTTTGACATCTCGGCGTGGTTCGTAGTTACTCTGACACCAAATGTAGTGTTCGACTTTACGCGAACAACTTCTGTCTTTCTTCGAACACCGCTTTATTTACAACATTCAACATGTCCTCCACACTCCACAGTATCCTGGTCACCACGGCTCGCTCACCGTGCTCCGCTCATCTCGCTCACCACCTTTGTCTCCCCACTATCACTTCACTTGCTTCGCACTCAGCGACTCCCCATTCAGCAACTCCGCACACAGCATCTTCAGCTCCGCTATCGCTACGCTCTCTCCACTGCTGGCTATTCTCCTCAGCTCCTCCGCACACAGTGTCTTCCCACACAGCGACTTCGCACACTCCGCACACAGCGTCTTCAGCTTCGCTATCGCTACGCTCACTCCACTGATAACTACTTCATCTTGCTTCACACTCTGTTCCAACTCCATTTCCCACTCTGTCTCCAAACTCTGTATCCAAACTCTATTTCCAACTCCACGTCTTCCTCGTCCAGCTCCCAACTCCCCGCTCTCTGTGAGTCTCCCCCCAATTCATCCCCATTCTCATTATCGCTAATTAATCGACCCGCGTGCCTCCGCACGCTTAGCGTCCTCAACCACCGGCCTTTCTCCAGACATCTCGACGCCTCCTCACCCTTGACAACTGCCACAGCCAATCACCGCCGTTGCTGATCCTCTGGCTTAATTGGCCCAACCGTTACCTCATCATCCCAGCCCTTGCACCTGGCTGTCCTAACACGACCCACACTGTTTTTGCCTTCTCCACAGGCTGACCCCAGATAACCCCACACTGTGCGTGTGATCATGCAATCGCGCAGTTTCCACAACACATCTTCATACTCCACTACACTTGTAATGATTTGTTTTTAACGTGCACTGCATAGAGTTGAATATGTTGCTTATAACTGGTGTAAACATCCCTATCTTACGCACTATATATATATTTTAACGTCAACTTGTTTTTGCCTGTAATTGGTTCTGCCCTTTGGTCATGCTGTAAACTGCACCAGTCTTTGGTGAAGTTTCTTTAACAATCTGCACGTTGTCAAACACCCCCCCCCCCCATATCCACAATGGCACTGGAAGACCTTTGTCCAGTAGTGGATTGACAGAGTAAATAACATTCTGTAGTGAATACTACTTTGAAAGTCACTGCAGACGATCGTCTTGACGTTAACAGTAAATCAGAATGTTGTTTGAATGATCACTATGGGCAGCTTCTTAGGTGTGCAGTTACATTGTTCATTTTATGAGCGTGCTTAAGTGTAGCCAAGGAGTGTCTCTGCGTTTCTGTGCCTCCGTCCAAATCGGTAATGGAATTTTTTTACGTATTCCTCAGCCGTATGGCCAATCCGGTGTCTGTCTTCATTGCAACACAAGCAATCATCATCATCATCAGGTACGAATGAATGAGAAAAAAAAACTACTAGTAAACTTAGAAATATAATGCAATACAACACAGAGAGAGTCGGCCAACATAACAGTGAACACCCTACCTGGTTGATTAACGTTCTTCCAAAGATTGCTAAATTTGAGAGAGAGACAAAACACAAACACGGAGACACACAGAACACACAAGCAGAGAAAGAGAGAGAGACACACAGAGACACACAAAGAGAGACACACACATAGTTTACAAGAAGTGGCTGTCGTGTGGAACATACATTTCCTGCAAGATAAATGTGTGCCTTCGGTGTAAAAAAACACAAAGGTTGCGAAAAAGCAGTATGCAGTACAATGAATTGCTCGGGTTAATTAATCACAGGGTCACGGATAACATTATTGCAGTTCTGTTGACTAATGCTGGAGGTTGGTCATCTACAAAACCCGCCCTCTTTTTTGCAGTCGAACCTTTTTTTTTAAATCAGTATCGCCATTTCTTTCGTCTTCCAGGGTCTGGCAAAAACAAGTTATCCGTGCTTGGTATCGCCCCTTGGCATCCACGTGGACGCCTCTGCTGCCCCAAGTCGATAGGAGGACGTCAAGGGGACACAAGTTCAGAGAGCAAGGTAAGAACGATAGAGCGTGGATTTTTTTCTTACAAAAAATATATATAAAACAACGTGTAGGTTTCGATGAATTTGGGTTGGTTTTGTTTATGAAAAAATATATAAAGCACCCTTCAAATCAATAAAGTCGTCTCAAAGGGTAATTTCTTTTTTTTGACATACAATCACATTTCCAGAAAAAAGCCAAAACCTGGAAAACTCAAGGAATTCGACATTAAATGTAAAATAATTCAATGAGCTTTGGCAATATAGTTTAAGAATAAAAAAGAGCTTTTATGATACACCTCTTGTAATCTCTTGACTTTAGCTTTCTCGACTGCAGTAATTCATATTATTTGGGTATTTCGGTAAAGCCATGTAGATAGAAAAATAAACATCACGACGTTTCGATCGAAAAACGTCGTTATATTTTTTAAATTATTTTTTTCTATCTACGTGTCTTTACCGAAAGACCCAAAGAATGTGAACTCTTGTAATCTGCGCAGCGTTTTACTATCGACTTGTTCCGAAAGAAGAAACGTATGTGTTTCATTGTGGTACAGTATTAGCAATTATTTAAACTTGAACTGCATGCGCTGCGGTTATTGTTAGCTTGGAAGGTTGTCGTGTAAGCCGTCCACCCTAAGCACCACGTATTTAAACATATGCTGTCTTATTTTTCTCCGGTTTTTAACTCTACTTTTATAATAATAGGGGTTTTCCCCTTTTTTCTGGCAACAAAACTGAAACCTTTTTACAAGGATTCATGTCTGCATTAACCACAATACCTGCAGTCAAAATGCAAACAAAACACATACTATGATAATATATGCATTGACCTTGAAACTGATTGGTCCACACCAAGGGACGGCTTTCTTTTGAGCCTCGACCCAATTGGTGTTTGTTTTCTGAACCTCAAGTTATCATAAGTGTCGATTTTATTCACTTTTTATTTTATTTGTGTGTAAATATTTGATGAATAAAATAAACCACGGTGGTTATAAACGCTACCCAAAGATGTATGCATCGTATTTAAACATTTATTTAACCTTTGCAACTCCGATATAAGTTGTAATTAACAATGGTAGTGATAGTCTATTTTCATCACTATCATAGTGACTTTCGTCATGGACTGGTATAGTCAATACTATCATAGTGACCATCAACATCATGAACTAGTAGTCACCACAATCAGTGACCATCATTGTAACACTGTGTAACAATAACATTGTTCCCTGGTAGTAAGTGTTAGTTCCTAATTGCTTATGCCTCACAAGTACAGAAAATGGATGTTATTATTCCCCACAAACTTTGCTTTTGTGACCAGGACACAAAAGCAAACTTAATAATCCACTCCATGAATAACACTGTGTAACAAATTCCTTTTTGTTCCTGGGTAGTGTTATTTCCTAATTGCTTATGTCTCACAAGTACAGAAAATGGCTATTCCCACAAACTTTGCTTTTGAAATGTACCTATTTTCAATGAGTAAACGTGGTGTGCATTTGTGTCATTCCTTCCCATAAAGACCTGGTCACAGAAGCAAAGTTTTAGGGGAATAACAGCCATTTTTTTGTATACTTTTGAGGCATAAGCAATTAGAAAATAACACTTACTACACAGGAACGAAAATCGTGTTACATCGCAATTATCCTCAACTGACGAGTCAATCTTACAGACGTCTCATTGTTTTTGATCTTCAGCAGATAATCGCGTTGTGCCAAACTCGCAGGGAAGGATTACACTCGGCCACTCGGGTATTTAACCCAAATATTATTTCTTAAATCAGGCGTTCTTCATACGTGGACATTAAAGTCCTGTAATGAGCACAGGCTGACCATTGAGCCGGTAGAGGGACGTTTTCAGCAATTTAGATGGTTTTATTATTTCCACATTTTCTTTAAAACCGCACCAGATGACGATTAACCATATGCATTGGCTTTACAGAGATACAAAAACGTTTAAATTGTCAAGTAAATGGAGTTCTAAGAATAAGTTTGACCCGTTCTGGAAATAAATCAGGCGTTAAGATTTTTAAACACCAGATAGAAACCTTTTGTAAGGAATCATGTCTGCATTAACCACATATACATGCACACATCTTGCATGTACTTGTGGAGAACATGCAAAATGTATATGTGGTTAATGCAGACGTGATTCCTTGTAAAAGGTTTCTGTTTGGTGTTTTAACATCTTAACACAGCTGTTTTATTTCCAGAAAGGGTAAAAACCTATTATTATATTTTGATAATGGCAAGGGAGGTCCAATGATGTAGCCGCTCGCCCCGAGCTCTCAATGTCCTGAAAGTGCATTGTCATTGTATGCCAATTGTATATAACAAGTATGATGACGTATGGCTAAAAAACCCTGATGACCGACACTGCAGGAGTCCTTAATCCAGCAGTGGATTGACAAAGGGCTGTGCATTATACAGTACATTAGCTTGCTTACTAGTTGCGACTCGGTTTTTGACACAGCTTGTGTGCTATCTGTAAGTCTTGGATTTTTCCAATTTGGAGCATCAGCGTTTGGTAAAACAAGCAAATGAGACGAACATGCGTAACATTTGTTCTCAAACTGTATGAAGACCATTTCATCCAATTCAGGTACCGAATGCTAGTAGATTAATGACATTTTGGCGCGTAATTCGCACATTCGCCAAGCTGCTAAAAATGTTCCCCAATGTACGGAAAACATACTTTCTCCCATGAATAGAAAGAGGTCACGATTCTGCTGTATAAAACAACTTACGTACAACATTTCCTTAGCTGGCATTTAATTTAGTTTCAAATAAGGGACAGGTTCACTTAAGGAGTTTGTGAAAATAACCACGGACGTTCAGGAGGACAACAGTTGTATTGTCTCTCGTATATACCAGAAGTCTTTTATTACTTACACTTCTGTACCGATTGTGGGGGTTATTTGACCATACTTGCACCGTGCTGGTCAGTGCAGGTTGGTAAATGCGGGTAGTATACACGCGGGTGTATAGGAATTCAATACAACTACAATTCTGACTGTTGCCTGATGAGGCCGGTTGTAATTACCGGCAAAACGTCGTACTCGAATTGTAAATGTTATGGGTTTACTCTCCAACACACCGGTGTGCTGAACCAGAAATGAATTTGCATGTTTTATTTACGTGCAAAATCTTATTAATTGGCTGTGTCGGGTGGTGGCGGATTTAATGACACATTTATATTTACGCGATCTAACCCCCCCAAAAAACTCCATTACAGTGATATGCTGTCGATTTTTGGATTTCATCGGTAAAAATCCTAAATTCAGACCTCGACACGGAATTTCGGATAATCATCCGAATTGTGATGTGACCTGACCATGGGTGAAGTCACTTATGTCAGCATAATGACATTTTGCAAAAGTACTCGATGGAAATGATTGTAAATTCTGAAAATATCCTAACTTGTCCTTGAATATCTGAAGATGACACATATGAGCTTTTAAAATCCTAAACTCAAGTACAATATATATTTCATGCACTGTCCTCTACTTACGACCATGTTTTAGTTTGTGTTGTATGTTCTGACCTGCCCCTCCAGGACATCTGTGAAAAGGAGCTTTATAGCTCATTGGATCCCTCCAGTACAGTATAAAATATTGAGATTCTGACGATCTGATGTAGTGCTGCAGCACTCTGGTAACCTGATTGTGCATCGTGGTCACACATCTTTGGCGAGATCGGGAACATTCCGAATGATTTGGTCATAGGCTTAATAATATTGATGGTTGGAAATGCTTGTTTGCCAACAGGCTTCCTGAGTTCGATTCCCAACCACGGTAAAACGCAAGTTGAAAGTGACCTCCTCACCCACTCTTCACTTGCTCATCACCAACCCGCACTGACCAGCGTCGTAAAGTAAAATAAACAACTCATCGACACGGCGTAGAGATGCTTTCATCCAGAAGTCGATTGACAAACGACTATTTGTTTGGCAGGAAAACAATTATAGGTGATCATATAATTAACGAGGAGCATACAATTTTTTTTATTCTGCTATAACTTAAAGAAAGAAATATTCAAATGTAATAGCTGGTTAGCACACCGGTACCTGCTCTGGTGAATGATTATGGTTCAAGGTATTTGAGGTCCACTTTACGGTTGATAGTAAAAACATACAAACCAGTACTTAAGAAAATGGTGGGGCTGGAGAAACGTAGATAAGGACCAGTGCACGCATGGAAAATGCATTATAAAACATTAATATGTTAGCAACTGAACCAACATGGAAAAGTGATTCACACCTAAATAGAAGCTTTGAAAGTTCCTGAAAAACATAAATTGTGGCTCAACAAAGACATGTTACAAAAGTATCTAAATATTAAATAAAGGTGTGAAAGGTGGTAGGTGTTGCGACTTTTTCAAAGCACGAGGTAACTTGCTTTTCCGAGGTTCACAGATAGTCTCTGAACATTGAAGATCATTTAACATTTAGCTAAGGGTATTTTAGTTACCTTTTGTTTCGCTATTTGATTACTTTAATTGCTCTAGCCACGGTGGCAAGACGTTAACTACCTAGCCTGTATACCAGGGGTCGGGAACCTTTTTGACTAAGAGAGCCATGAAAGCAAAAAATTTGGAAATTTATTTCAGTGAGAGCCATATAATATATTTTAAAAGTGAATTCAACTAAATGTCAGTATAATAAGCCTCTGAATTTATTCTTTTAAATAATGTTGTTATAACACTCACCATTAATGCGACTTCTGGTGCTGCATGGATTTGCTGATGTCTTTGTAGTCGGGTTGGTACTTTGTAGTCGGGTTGGTACTTGGTGAGGTTAAGCTTCATGCAAGCGTTGAGGCTTTCATCCGTTAAACGTGATCGTAGGTTGGACTTGATGTTTTTAAGATGTGAGAATGACTGCTCACATGCATACGTAGATCCAAACATGGTCAATACAGCAATACTCACACGCTGCAGTGTGTGGTATGTGACAGGAAGCGCGTTCCAAGTTTTGAGAATCAGCTGGTCTTCGGGTTGGAGTTTTTTCATTTCTGT